GTACTTTTCTCAAAACTACATAGAGATATCTGGAATATGAACAGCAAGTTGGTAAATTAATCCTTAAATGTGAAAATATTATGCAAGCTTTTAAATTATGCCATAGAGAAAAGTCAAATAAATAGCTTTTCAATGCTTAGACAGAACACTTTGACTCTAACTATATAGTACAAAGGACACATCACCATTTAACACCACTGTAAGTGCCACGAAACAAACACTACATAGTAAGCTTTGGGCAGACACAACGATAAGCCAATAAGCTTATTGTTGTTCATGAGATACAAATTAATTTCCTAGAAAATTACATTAAAATGCCAACCAAGCTGTAAGTTACACATGGAGGGGAAATATAATTAATCAGAAGACATTATAAATTAAATCAAATGTTAATTTGCACTTAGCAACAAAGAATCAACAAATATTAAGGAAACTTCTATGTACAAGGTACCCTTGGTGAAGTAGAAAAGTAAAGTCAAAGGAAAATAACAGAAAGAATATCAGGGAAGACAAATCACTAGCTTAAAAGTTAAACTACATGTTTCAGTAAGTTTTCAAGTTAGTTAAAGATACTGTTATTATTTCAAGAGAAATGATAGAATATGCCTTATGATTAACATAAACATATTAAATTAAACAAAGGGTATGTTAAATTTTAATTTGCTGATAATTAAGAAAGTTTCTTCATTGATTACTTAAGTAAATATTTATTAAATACCTTCTATGAATATCATCAGAGATGCTAAAAAAAATTCCATCTTTAAGAATACTTAAATTCCAACAAATGTATTTATACATGAAAGACAAAATAGAGTAATCACATATAAGAGTTAAAAATCTTTTATATTGATTAATATAAATAAAGGTATTAACATACTTTACATTTAGCTAATTTAAATATGCCACAAAAATGTGAGGAAATCCTTTCTCCTAAAAAATGAGAAAGGAAAGAAGAGAATGAATGGAAAACATTAGTGATAATAAGAAGAATGAAAACAAAAGGATAGTCCAAAATTTTCAGGATGAAAAGTTAGCATGGAAATTAGCAAGAAAAAGTCACAACAAACAAAAAAAATACAAATGAAATTGTTAAAAAAAATCATTTTTCATTCACAGTAAATGATAACAGATACAGGATTAAACTGCTTAAATTAAAACAAATATTCTTAAGTTATATTAAAATAAAATGTTGAATTACAGATAAAATAAATGAATAGGAAAAAATAAGAATACTAAAGACTAATATTTTACTAATATCAGTAAATAAACAAAAGAATGCAAATAAAAATTTCACAAAAACTTTATAAAGGTCATTATTTAGTACAAGGGGGTATTATCATAAACATATATCAATTTACAAATCAAAGCAATAAAAATATAGCCTCAAGATGTATAAGGCAAAAAGTGATAAAACAGAATCACAAGAATTAAAAACTCAATAATCAAGAGATTTGTATTCTACCTTCTCAAGAAAATGACAGCTAAGACATATATAAAAGACAACAGAAATTTGAAAACCCTAACTACCATTAGTGGTACTGCATACAAATATTAGAGAATAACTATTTCTTTCAAGCACAGAGAGAATAATAACAAAATTGACCATATACTAAGCCATAGCAGAAAGCTTAATATCACAAACTAATATGACACAAAAAATATTCTCTGAACTAAAGACAAGGTTAAAAATCAATATAAAAAGCAGTAAAAGTACAGATATTTTATTTGTTAGTAAAGTTGTTACCTGCTTAAACTAATTTTATGTAAGATCGATGGTATAACCAACCACAAAGAAAATCTAATAGTAGATACAAAAAAGATAAAGATCAAAATATAGTACTGCAGAAAATCATAAAATTGCAAAAAAAAAAAAAGGCAGGAAGAGACAGAGAGAGGAACAAAAGAACTATAAGACATACAAAAAACAATTAACAAAATAACAGTGGATCCTACCTATCAATAATTACTTTCAATGTGAATGGATTAAACTCACCAATAAAAGATACAGAGTGATCCAATGGATTTTAAAGAGACAAGTATATGCTGTTTATAAGAAATTCAATTTATATTTAATGACACACATAGGCTAAAATTTAGTAAAGAGATGGAAAAAGATATTTCATGCAAGCAGTAATCATAAGCTCCGTATGTGGCTCATATCTAACAACATAGATTTTTAAGTCAAAATTGTCACTAGAGAAAAAGGTCATTACATAATGCATAATGATAAATAAGCTCAACAGGAAGTCTAATAATTATGAATATATCTGTATGCACTCAACATCAGAGTACTTAATTATGTAAAGAAAATATTCACGGAATGGAAGAAATAGAAAGCAGTACAATAATAATAGGAGACTGCAAAGACGAATTGAATTCTAAGAATAATAAAAAGATATGGAGAAACAGAAACCTTTATTCACTGATAGTAGACTGTAAAATAGTACAACCACTTTAGAGAGCAATTTAGAAACATCTAGCAAAACTGAAAATGGACATATCCTGTTATACAACAATATAATTTGTGGTATTCACCCTAAAGAAGAGGAAAAAAAGAAACTAAGGTAATATTTTAAGAAACCGTGGCTAAGAATTTTCTTAGTACATATTAAGGAAAGAAATCCACAATAAGAAGACCAGAAAATCCCAAGGAGTATAAACGAAGTGAAATCTATTCCTAGATTCACTACAGTAAACTGCAGAAATTCAAAGACACAGAAAATCTTAAAAAGGGATAGGAAAGAAAAGACTGAATTGCCTTCAAGAAGCAGCATTTAGACATTTACCAGCAGTGAAAATAATAGCCAAATGTAATGGAATCATTATATGTTGAAAGAATACAGAATGAAAATAACAAAACCTGCCAAATGAGAACTCTATAGAAAGAGAAAGCATGTTTCAGTAATAAAGATAAAATAAATTCAATGATGTAAAAGAAAAAGAAATTCCACATAGAAAGTTTCAATGTAAAAGGGAGAAAATGGTAAATATGCATATAAGTATAAATGAATTTTGACTGAAGAAACTATAATAGTATCTGAGGAGAATTAAAAATAGAATTAAGATATATAAGAAGCCTCTTTTACCCTTCATATTCCTAGAATAAAGCAGGGGTAGCTGACATACTCGTGTGCTCTTATGCTACCAACTCCATGAACTTAGACGTTAAGACTTTATCAGTGCATCTTTGAATACCTAATATAGTTGTGGGTCACAAGAAAGCACTGTAGTGAAATCAGTCTGTGGTCAACTTTTTGGAATCCAGTCCTGCTGTACCTCTTTCCAATTGTAGAATCTTAAAAAAGTTCTTTAAACCATCTCTGTTAAGGTTTCCTTAACTATAACAATGGAAATACTAATAGCTCCTATACCCCAGGACTACTGCGAGGACTAAATAATACATGCCTGGCACAAGATGCTTACTAATTGTTACCTTCTTTCTATTATATAAGAAATAGAGGTTTACAAGAAAATTGACTGCATCTTTATATGATTTACCTAGCACATATAAATATTATTTGGTTTGATATGCTTAATAATGTCTATGTGTAAAATATTTCAATTATGTTAAAAGTTTTTAACTCTTTTTGCTTCCCATTTTGAAATAATTTATGTCTAGCATAATACATGTAATATTAGCTAATCTCATACTATATTTAAGAAGTATTTCTGTAGAAATGATGAGACTCAAACCAATTTATTTTCCTTTATAGTCAGTAATATTTCAGAATATGCAATTTCCTTACTTCACTGCCTTAAAGGTGAAAAAGTATTTTATCTTTGTTTACTATACATTTCAAGACCATGTTACAATAATAAAATAGTGTCAGTTAAATGTGAAAATTCTGTATCTACAAGGTGTTTTCAGTCACAACATAAGTCCATTTTGATTCTCACCTTAGCAAAGAATATTTGTAAAGAAAGACTTTTGTGACATAAATCACTGTCATTTAGTACACAGTTGAAAAAGCAAAACTTTTAGTAGAAGATAAATATTAAAAGAAATTTTAAAATCATCATTCTAAAAATGGCTTTGGTTTTGCCAAATACAGTTACTAACTGACTAAACAAAATTTATATAAATAAGATTTAGTAGCAAGGGGACATTACACACATACAATGCTACTATTCTTTGTGAAAGTTTATTAGCAAATTAAATTAGTTTACTAATAACTTTAATAATAAAAAAACTATGATTTTCAGTTCATCGACTGTTTACAATTTTTTAAACCATGAATATACTACATTTTTCTCAAAAAATGTGGTAGTAGGATATTGACATTTTATAAATTGGGGGACTACATTTGCGAGGTAGTGCACATATATAGGTAATGTTTTACATATACTCCATATGTCCTTGGAAAGAAAACCCTGCACAGAGAGCATAAAGTAAAAACAGGTAAGCTTCCTATTATCTTCTGTGTTGATGAGTGGTCATCCTCTAACCCACCATTTTACTAAGGTTATACTTCTTCAAGGTCCAAGTCTTAATTTCATCTCCAAAGCTTTATCCATGGTCTCCCACAAACCACCACCTATGACCCCCCGAGAGATCTCTTACTATTTTCTGAGCTCATCTCTCCATTTGAAAGAACACTTGTTTTATTTTATTTAGCATAGTTACATTAAAAGAGAATTGTAAGGTTATCAAATTATTTCCATTAAGAGTCAATAGAATTAAAAGTTTGTACATGGATAAAACAAAATTAATAGATGATAATATCCAAAAATACTGTATAAAAGTATCTAACCTCAAGAATAAAAATAGTTTTTGTTTTTTTAATATTAATAAAAATATAAAAGCATTGAAAAATCATAAGCACATGAAGTTTATATCTTCACTAGTAACAAGGTTACATTTACCTTTTGCTCCCATAAAACTTTATAAAATTTTTCTTTACTCGTGGATTAGAGAAAATTTTTTTTCCTAATATCATGCATAATTGCTTTTTTCTTTATCTTAATTCATAGGAGTATACTTCAGAGGATTTATTGCTTACCAATTTGCTTTCTATACTGTTCAACAGGAAGTTTGATAGTGGAAGCATCTTTTTTACCCATCTTTGATCTCCAAAATCCTTGCTGAAAGGAGAGAAAACAATTATGAAATCCTTAAAAAAAAAAAAAAAAACTATCTACAACTTCAGGAATTATTCCATAATATTCATTTTTAAAATAACAGGTAAAAAATAACTTCAACTTATTCCTGTTAGATACCCATAAAGAATGCAAACTTATTTCAAATAAATTACCAAGGATACACTGGCTGGTAATTAAATTTCCCAATCATTTGTTCTTGGTAACATTCATTTTATCAAGTACCATCAATGCTCAATTAAACCATCCTGTTAGAGAATATTATCTGTAAATTTGAAAATCTCGTACTATTTATTCAGCTAGGTTGGGGCTGTAGGTGAGCTACTGGCAGCATGCATCTTTCCAATTACCTACTATGTTACACAAAATGTAAAGCTGAAGTTTGAACCTCATCTTTTTGTATTTTGTTTTCAAAAGCCTAACATATGGAAACAGTATCAATGGAATTTAGTTCTAATTCTTCCCCACTTAATGTAAACAAGTACCACTTTTAATATTCTATCTTGGCTCAGTGCCCGAAGCACAGTGGTTACGGCGCCAGGCACATACACTGAGGTTGGCGGGTTCGAACCCAGCCTGGCCAGCTAAACAACAATGGCAACAACAACAACAACAAAATAGCCGGGTGTTGTGGCAAGTGCCTGTAGTTCCAGTTACTTGGGAGGCTGAGGTAAGAGAATCGCTTAAGCCTTAAGTCTGAGGTTGCTGTGAGCTTTGACACCAGGGCACTTTACCGAGGGCAACAGAGTGGGACTCTGTCTCAAAATTATAATAATAATAATAATTATAATATTCTATCTTTTCGTATGAATTATTAAGTAATTACAAAGCACCAAGATGCCAGCCCTTTCACAGGGTCACTTCCCTCACCATAGACCTGAGATGAGACAGCAGGCGCCATATTGCTTCTTCATAATCTATTTTTTAAATTGATGTAGTGGGTAGCCCAATAGTCACCATACATAAGGAAAATGGAAAATTGCAGCTAAATGTATCTTTTTTTCCCAAAATAATCATTAATAGATTTTACAAACAGGTGGCCAACATCTATAAAAATTTGTAATGAATATTTTATAAATGAAGATACATTTAACTACTAATTCCCAATTTCCATGTGCATGGTGACTTTTGGGACATCTATACAATATTGTGAATATTTCAGGAATACATGTGATATTTTGGTACTTGTATAGAATGTGCAATGACCAAATTAGAGTAATTGGGATATCCACCATCTATATTTTCTATGTACTTCATATTAGGAACTTTACAAATCATTTCCAGCTATTTTTAAATACATAATAAATTATTAACTATAATTTTTCTATGGTGCTACGAAATACTATTGCTTATTCCTTCCACCTAACTGTACTTTTGTATCCCTTAACCAACTTCTCTTCATTCCTTCTTCCACACTTCTCTTCTCAGGCTCTGGTAACCCCTATTCCACTCTACCTCCAGGGGACCTACTTTTTTAGCTCTTGTGGGTGACCATGTAATATTTGCCTGTGTCTGAATTTTTTTAACTTAAAAAATGACAAATAAATTAAGTCTTCATCTCTAATAAACCACATGGTTATTATGTCTAGGATAGCACATCTCGAAAAATTTTAGAAATAAAACCAAGACATCACCTAATTCTACAGTCTTACTCGCTAAAATTCAAAACATTAAAAATAATTTTGTCATGACAAATATAATAAAAAATCAATGCTATAACATATTCATGTAGAAATTCCATTTGCATAGTGGTTTGCATTTATTAGTCGTAAAGAGTCAAACTATTTTAACGTCACTTGTGTGGGTCTAGAAAAAATATCACTTCATATTAGGAGAGAAGCTAAAGTGAATAAAAATACAAGATAGTCCCTGTTTAATTTAGTTTTGTTCTTTAACTTTCTCTAATATGCTTAAAAATGTAAAAAGCAAATCACTAAGGCTATTTCCCAAAATGGTTGCTATGCCTCTCCCAGTTCCTTCCTGGTCATTCAATCGATATCCCAACAGAGATAACACTTTAGAGGCCAATATTTTATTCATTCACTATCTGTAGCAAATAAAAATATATGGGAGCTATGAAGAATATCTTATCACCAAAGTAAAATGAGTTTTACTTATTTATACATGTGTTTAACATAATAAAATTATACTTAAAAAATGAAATTTTTAAAGGAGCCTAACTTTTGAACAAACACATTTTATATGTATAATAATCTCTGAAAATAAAAATACCTTAAAAGAATTTCAACCACAGAAATACTTTAAAGAGAAAATGGTTTGAAATTTGTGTTCTTATCATTTAATGTTTTAATAATAGTTAATCAAAAAGTTCAAAAATTTAAACTTCATTCTTATGTTTAAAATCATTATATTCTATTCTTTAAGCAAAACAGCATTTTACGAAATAATAAAACAAAAAAAATGCCTACAGAACACACACTTACACAGATTACTTACATTTTATTAGCTGCAACTAACACAAAAAGATAGAAAATATTTTACCTTCGTAAAAAACACATTGAATCCATTTTAAATAATCAAAAGAGATACCCATTCATCTGTACAGTGCAATTGCCAATGCTTCAGACATCTAGAACCTTTAAAACATTGTGACTTTTCTTTGTTCTTCAAAGCCTTGCAGTAATCATCATTCATTTCTATTGCTTTGATGGTTAGATACAAACTCTTAAGAAATCCAGGGAGACATTAGCACATCCAGTCGCAATTTCTAATAAGACAGCTATTTGCATACAAGATCAGCCACAATTTAAAATGTGTTGTGATAGATGCGGAAAGGGAATAACAGATTTATATTAGCATGTACAATACCAAGATTGTTTTCACAATTTAATTCCTTGGAGATTATGTCTCATCACCTTCTTTTAGAAAGAACATTGCATTCCCCGAGGAACTAACTTGCTCCGAGACCCAGCTAAACTAAAATATGGATTAATAAGATAATATTTATTATTTATGAATTTTGCTGTAGGAATGATTTCAGATTAAATCATCAGAGAAGTTTTCAACATTCTTGAAACTTGATAACACATATTTAAGGAAGAAAAAATGCTAATTTTATTTAATACCTAAATTGCATATTAAAATAATTCATAGTTAATTTTCCATCTAATTAAAACTTTACAGTATTTAGAGCTTTTAAGATTAAAGATAGCATTTTTAATGTGCATTCTTAACCTAAATTTTGCACAGTGATTTTGCCACCTGCATTTTTAAGCATAATATTTGACCTCTAAAAAAAACCAAAGGTAGTTTATAGTCTACTACATTCTGACCAAGTTATTTTATTGTTCATTTATATCTTTTTATGAAATCCAGAAAAAACACATAAAGAAATAAGAAACTTGAATATGAACACATAAAGAAATAAGAAACTTCACATATGTCTCTGCTTCCAGAAAAAGCATTAAATCCAGATAGTGACATTTAATACATATCAAAACACAGGTTATTAAAAAATCCAACCCATGACCACCAAAAATATAATTAGTACAGTTTTTAAGGCTAAAAGAAGGAACTCTCCCTGAGGAAAATCTTAAGTAAGCATAAAATTATAATCAAGCAAAAAAGATATTTATGTATGTCTGGATTACAACTGAGAAACAATCACAGTAATACTACCTTATGCTATTATAGTTGCTGGGATATAATAATAAACAGAAACTAGACATTTGTTTCTCATCTTAGGCCACATTCACTATTCCTAGAGTATTAAAAATTCAAAGTTGTTCACGCAATATACTAATATACTTTAGTCACCCAGGTGGTGCTTTTCTAGAGAAAGCAAAATCCTTAGCATAAAGAATTATTAAGGTTGAGTTTATCATTTGTTCCCATTGCATATGCCAATGCGCCATCAAATTCAGCTTTTAGTTCCATGATTTTCACAAGCTCATTCACATTTTCACGAATTTACTCATGTTCTACAATTTGTTTTCAATGTCCTTTTAGTATATCCCCACTTATAGAACCTACATTATAATATATACAATGGGTCATTTCCACTGAGTGATTATCCAGAACCTGCCTAAGAGGCATGATTCATAATTCAAATCTCTGGAAATAATTCTCCACACTTAAGGAAATAAAGAAAAAATAGGTAGTTTGAAAGACTATCACAGTGTGAAGGAGATAATATATACTATTATATTTAATATAAAATTAATATTATGTAAATAATATTAATTACTTCTATTAAATAATTATATTTATTAATATTTACATGCATAATATTATAATAAACAATATTAACACAAGTAAATGTGATGAGGAACAATTCTTATTGTATAAAACTGGAGAGCAAAACACTGATCTTTCTGACATTTTCAGAGATCACAGAGACCAGTTCACCTCGACTTTGCCAAATTGATTTCCATCATAGGTATATAAGAAGTATCTAGAGGGCAGTGCCTGTGGCTCGAAGGAGTAGGGTGCCAGCCCCCTATGCCAGAGTTGGTGGGTTCAAACCCAGCCCCAGCCAAAAACCACACATACACAAAAGAAGTATCTAGAAATTTAAATATGTGAAGGGATGATTTCTACAATCCTGATCATTTCCCATCATTAATATAAAAAATTACAAGAAAATTAATGACCAGACAGTTTTCTGCATAAACCCAAGAAGTCATGCTCTAGGAAAGAAACCTTAGTACATGGAACTCACCTTTCAGCCAAACTATAAAAGGAAAACAAACACAGTATCAACAAATAGTGCTAAACCAACTATATGTCCTCATGACAGACAAAATAAACCAATCAAAAATACTTGACATCATCTCACACGATAGAGGTCAACTGAAGACAATCATAGACATAAACAAAAGAGCTAAAACAATAAAGCTACTAGAAGAAAGCTAGTAAAGCTACAAAGTTATTCATAATTTGGGGAAGGCCAATATTTCTATGAGAGAACACAGATAGGATGGACCATAAAAGAAAAAAAATAAATAAAGAAGAGCTGACCACAT